GGGTGCATTACAATGGCATCGTAATAAAATTTATGTGTTAGGGCAAGTGTTTTTTGAGCAGATAAGACGGAAGTTTCATGGTGAATTCAACATATATAAATAATATTAATTTTAGCTTACTCGTATAAATCACATAGATATGCAGAAGAAAATAGAGAGAGAACACTCATAGCAAGCACTTAAATTTATTCCATGCTATCTTGTATGTCACATAATTCTAATAGATCTGCTTATAATGCTTATCGCATTCATATGGAAAATTTTGCTAGAAGAGCGCTTACACATGACTAACAAAAAAGAGGCGAAACGAAGATGCCTTTTGTTACTTACTATTTAAGTATTAAGCCTTTAGGATTTGAACTACAAACATTTAAACTAATTTTTAAGGCTATCGGTAGCGCATATACTAAGTCTCACTGCGTTAGGTTATGAAAGGTGGCAATAACTAGACTCAGTGGGAAAAATCAGTAAAAATCATATAGGTACACAGTCATATAGGAATAAAAGGAAACAAAAAGACAGACGAGTTGGCCCGCTTGAAGGCAGCCAGTAACACAATTCCTCTAAGTTGTCCAGGATTATTTAACACCTTAATAGGCTGCTTGAAGCAATGGACTCTAGAAACAAAGCTAAGGTCTTGGAACTCTAGTAATATAGAATAAACTGCTAAGATAATTAGCAGTTTCTTTAACATCTAATCGTAATCCAAGCTATTCAAGTAACACAATACTGGTTTTTCTTCAAGGTTTGGTCAGTATAATAAGACGTGAGGCGAGTATGGTAATTAGTAGACTTTCATATTTGATTAAATAGATAAAACAAATCGTAATAAAGTAAAATAACTTTATAATTATTAAATACTTTATATTTTACTAGTTAAGTTAGTTCAAAAAAGACTGAGTACACAAATGTATACTAGAATAAAGCTTCTGTTCCTTAGGATTGATTTTTACTACCGGAAACTATTGCTGATTATGTAGAGTATATTCGCAAAGAATACTTACTATTTATTTGCTATATATATTGAAAAATATTTATATTTTTAACAGCTATTTAAAAACACTTACCTTTTTCTCCTTTTCAATTCGCGGATTTCCGGAAGTCAATATATAAAATGTTATTATTTATATTTCGTTGCACACAAATATTTTTTTAACACATAATCAGAATCAGAATCTGATTGAAAATAAGTTTTTTTTCTTTTATTTTACTTCGCACTTGTAATTGAAGGTTGAGGCACACACATACACAGAATTCTTTCCGATCCTTTGAGAAAGAGAGAAGAAGAAATGATGAAAATAAGGTTAAATTTTTGGATCTTTTTAAAGTAAAAAAATAATTTATATTAACTACAAAAAGTCATGCAAAAAATTAAAGTACCAAAAGTATTTAGTTTTTATAGCACATATTTTTCATTCTAGTTTAGTTTTTAGATTTTTGGTTTGAAGTAAAATTATTATTTGATAGTTTTTGTTTTTGGTAATTTTGGAAATTATATATAATATTTGCAGTATATTTTCTTCTCTATGTATATAAATATTATATTTATCTTAATTTTCTTGATTTTCATTTTTCATAACGGTTGTTTTTCAATAACGTTTTTAATCAGAAAACCAAGAATATTTTGAATTATTTCAAAAATTATTTCATTTAATTACAAACAAAAACTCCAAAACGAACGAATAGTTTCTGCTCTTTAAGAAAATATCAATCGCAGAGGCAAACACAGCAACAAACACGCCGAAATACAGTGAAAAGCGTTGAGTAAAATATTTGAAAACTTCGAAAAATGCAACGAACACGCATGCGCTAACTAGGGACAAAGAAGAAAAGTAAATAAATAAAATTCATACGCCAACGGCAGAAGACGAGCATATTCAATAATGAAAAAAACCAAAACAACAATAAAACCAAAAATATTAATGCAAGCAAAGAAACAAAAAAACAAAAAAAAAACGGCAGCCAGACGGCCGTGACTGCGATGGACAACTGAGCCGGTGGCAGCGACAAAAACTACTACTACAACAATAAAAACAACAAAAAATAGCCTGCAAGCTTTTGGCGTATTATTGCCCGCTTCAGTGGCGATTATCGCTGCGCTTGGCGTCGCCGTCGCCACAGCTGTTGGTTGCGGCTGATCTTATGCAATTGTTTTTGCGATCTCTTCTTTGCTCATTGCCTTCACAAACTGTTGGCGCATGCGTCAAGTCTCGTTTTCATATTTTTTTATGCGCTTATGAGTGTGCTTTGTATGGCTAGCTCCGAAGACGGTTGGAAGAAGTCGTCGATATTTTTGCAAAGTGCATTTCGATTTTGCGGTAAAAAAGATAATTTTCTTTTGTTTTTATGGTTTCATTGTATTTGCCATTGTTTATTTGCAAAGATTTTCTTAATTATATATGCTCTCTTAATTGTTGCGCGATTTCCGTCTGCGCATTCGTATCCACTGAAAGACATGAATGTAAAAAGTCGCTTGGCTGCTTTGTGGCGCTGTGCTCTGCTGACCAAGATTCGCGTGCGCATGCGCTACTCATTCGCCAAAGTGAAATGCGCTTAAAGCAGTTGAAAATGAAATGGGAAAATAAAATGAATGAAAGAAAAAATGGTGCATTTGGGAAAAACACGATTAAATGCCCGAATTCAAGTTCAATTTGTGTTGTGCATTTTTGTTTACGAAATACTTAATTATGCTGAAAGAAAATTAAACGCGATTATGGGTGAAAATTGAAAATTTTTAAGTGTTTTGTGAAGAGTGAAATGAAAAAAAATGAAATAACTTTTAATTGCTATTAGTTGCTTTCTTTGCTTGTTGGGCTTGAAAGTAATTGAGAAATTTGTATAAAAATTTGCAATTGAAAATGATCAAATGAAATAAATCAATGGGTTTTGCCACCAGAAATACAGTTTTAGCACAAAAATTTGCGAGCAAAAATAATAAAAAAGTGAAAAGTTGTTGAATATTTATTATTATTCTTATTTATTAATATTTTATTTAATTTTTTTTGGTTTCTAAACAGTCAATATATTTTAAAACTTTTCAATAGTTGAAGTTAAGCTACTTGGTCTCAAATTGAACACTTTCTATTTTTTTAAGAATTTCCAATTTAAAATAAAAATACAATTTTTTTTAACGTTAATTTTTTTCATGAGTAAGGAGCTTGTTTTTTCATTAACCTAATTATTGTTGTAAAAAAAACACACACACAAAACAAAAAATACAATTCTTAATTTAATTTTTATTAATTTTAATTTAATACTATTTTTCTTTGTTTATTTTAGGATATTTTAATTTCTTGAGTTAGTTTTTTTTTATTAATTTAAAGATATTAATAATAACCTACTATTTTCAAAAATTCTTTTATTTTTATTAAAAATTTTTTTTTTTTTGTTTCCTATACTTTAGAATATTAAACATTTTTGTGATGCGTGAAAACTTGTTTTTTCATTAATGTGAATGTCGCGTAAAAAAAAAGCATAAACAAAACAAAAAGCACTTCTGAAATTTATATTCATAATATATTGAATTATTGTAATATTATTTTAGCAAGTTTTCAAATTTAATTTTAAAAATAAGTTTTGTTTATTTTCAAATAATATTCTACAATAATTTTTTGTGGCTTCTAAATTTTTTGCATTAGTTTTTTAATTAAAAACATTTTTTTCTCGTTTTATATAATATGTATATATTATATATATATGTGCATATTTTATTTTTGCTTATAAAAAATAATTTCGCTATGATTTTTTGTTTTGTGCTTTTTTGATATGTGTGCTAGTATATTTTAATTAAAAAAATATATTTTGTCAAAACCAGAAAAATAAATATTTTTTAAATTAAATTTGGGTATTAAAATAAAATTAATATATATTTAGGTAATAAAAATTTATTGTGTGTTTTGAAAGAATTTCGATAATGTATGATATATTAAAACTCATTTATTCAGTACATTTTAGTTTTGGTACGATTCCAAAAAATTTTTTTTGGTTTTAATACAAATTTTATTTTAAAGCACTTGAAAATAATTTATATTAATTTTGTAATGAATTTCATATTTGCAAACAGTATTTTTGAACTCAAATTGTTGCAATAAGAGGTTTCTAATTTAATTGCCAGTAAGAAAAGTAAAAAACGGGAAAATATGGCAAGAAATATTTACTTTCTGCTAAAAAGTAATATAAAAAATTCTAAACATTTTTGAACATTTGAACTTTTTGTTTGATATTTTGAATTTTTGGTTTTGTTTTTTATTATTATTTTAATTGTTTTTCTGATAGGTCCTTAAGATTGTATCCACTAAACTATATTTGATATATTTATTTTTAGTTTCATATTCAAACACTTGTATATAATTTTTATTTTTATGCATATGTAGTCGTCAGCTTCATTTATTTTTAATTCTGAGGTCTTTCATTTTTTTGATTGAAAAATTAAAATTAGAAAAAAAATAAAATTACTAAAATGTACTAAATTAATTTTTTCTTTTTAGTTTTTATTTTTTTATATTAATCGTAGCAATGTTTTTTAAGGCCTCAAAAACCAAAAAAAGTCTTAATTACTCAAATATATTTAATTTTTTAAATTATTTGAAGTTTTACTTATTAAAAGAATTATTATAATTATATACACGTGACATATACATATCTTCCAAACAAATCTCAATTAAGCCATAAAGCCTTCAATGCGCATTAGCAATTTAATAAATTCGCAATTAACAAAACAAAGCATCGACTAAGCGCCAGCTAAAATCTAACCATATAACACAAACACATTTCTGATAGCTTTTCTACTTTCAGCAAATATTTAAAACTACAAAATTACTGTTTACTGACAAACAGCCGCAAAAAAGTGTTCACTTTTTATTTTTACTTATTTCTTTGCTTTTCACCCAACAATCAACGAATTCGCTTGCATTTCCTATATGTCAACAACCAAAAAATGGCAATTTGCCTCTTCCCTTATGCGCTGCGCTTTAGCGTCGTGCACTTCACTTTGCACTCTGCACTTTTCGAGCGCATCTTCAATGAAAATGCACTTAAATATTTGGTTAGTTGTTGTTGTTTTTGTTTTTTTTTGATTTTTTCGGTTTTTTGTGTGTTTTCGGAGAGTTTTTGCCATTCGTTTGTTGTATGCAATTTCTTTTATTTGTTTTTGTTGTGTTTGTTTACAACGTTTTTTCATTTGTCGGTCGGTTGCGTTGATTTGCTGTTTTTCTTTCGTTTTCGTTTCTTTGCCTTTTTTGCAACACACAAGTTCGCACTTTCGATTTCGTTCACAAGCGCATAACGTTTATCATCTTCTTTATTCGCTTCGTTTTATCATGGAAATATTTCCTTAACCTTATTTGCTTCAACGCACCGAAATCAAAAAAAAAAAAACAATTTACAAGTATATATATATATATATATATATATATATTTATTGGTTTCTTTCACTTCGTTTTATTGATTTTGAATTCGTTTCTGACACGCTTTATTATTTTGCTGCTTTATAAAATATTTTTAAGGAAAAAAAAAAACCAAAAAATTAAATAAAATGCCATAAGAAAACCGCACGAAAATGCTCAAATTCACCTCAGCGCTCGGCTCCAAGTAGTTTGGCGCTGCCGTTGGAGACTTAGCGCACAGCCCGTTCACACAGACGTTAAGCGGAGTTGTACTGCCGGATCCGCGTTCGTCGACCCGATCAATACGAACACTGAAAAAGAACTAAACTCGCAACGATCGCTTGACAACGCTGCTCAGCTTCGCTGCCACGACGATGGCGATGTCGATGACGATCACGTTGTAGCGATGACGAAGATCGGCCGAGCACCATCAAATGAGGAAAAATAAAAGAAGCTCCAACTGGCTGTGTTTGTTGTCTGATATTGTTGTTGTTGTTGTGCGTTCACAAACTCGCGCGCTTGCTCAGCTGTAAGCTTCGCTTATTATTGCTGTTGTTGTGCTTTGGCCAAAAACATTTCGGTTGTGTTCGACGCGCGTTGCGAAGGTGTTGAGCGCCATGCAAAACCGTATTAAACAGCTGAGCGAACGCACCTGCCTTACTGCCTTTAGTGTTGCTATTGTTGTTGCGCCAACATGTTGCGGTTGGCCGCCAAAGCGCCAGCGCTTCACAAACTTTTTGCTTGCACACAAATTGTCACTTTGCATAACAGTGTTTTTCCATCGTTTGTTGTTGTTGTTTTTGTATTTTCACACGTCACGCTGACTCTGCAATATTTGCTGTCTTCACTCGCTCGGTGCGATCTGCCTTAACGACCTTGACTTCCTTAATCATCTCACACTTAACACTTGTTTGTTTATACACTTTTTCGTCACTTTGTGTTTTTGGCAGCTGATAGAAATTTTACGGAAGCATTACCGGGCGGTTTTCGATGTACACATATTGCTTTAATTGTTGTTGTTGTTGGACTTTTTGTTTGGTTCCAACTTCTTAGTTCACCTCTTGTTGGTGATGATAATAGTGCTTTTGTTGTCATATTGTTGTGTTGTTGTTGTTTTAGGTGATGCTATTTGTTAATTGTCGTTTTGTTGTAGCGCAATTCGCATTGGAGTTTAGCATTTTGCTATTGAGCGGAAAAGTTGGAGCATAACCAAATTATAGGTTATTACTCGGCAAATTTTGTTTGTTGAGATTATTTTTGAACACTAGATACATATATAAATTAGTTATTCTAGTTAACTTTGCCGCTTTGAGTTAAAGTCATGAGTACATACATACTTATGTACAATATATGCAAAATCTTCCATTTAATTAGAAGCGGTTTTTAGAAAGGGAAGTGTTAAGTTGTTGGAATTAGAAATATAGATAAGAGTATAGCATTAAATTGGAAAATTAATTAAATTATTTTAAACGATATAGGTATTCTTTACTGGTTCAACCGGAACCGAAACTTTAAACGCGTTTTACTCGAAACTGTCTTTTTCAAAACGATAACCACGATTTTTTAGGCTCTACTGGGTAGACTTATCTAAAATTTTTAAAGAGTCTTCTTTATAGACGTGTCTTTGTCTGGAACTAGCCATAGACTAATTAGTTGGCCACGAAGTTTGTAATATCCAAAAGAAAACGTCGGAGTCCCTATAATATATATACATAAATGATCAGCATGATGAGTATTTAGACCTGTCCTTCTGTCTGTCCGTCCATCTGTCTGTCTGTATATATACCACTTAGTTAGTCAGTTTTTAAGCTATCGATCTGAAATTTTGCACATGTCCTTTTCTCTAAGTCTTACCATTTAAATCAATAGATGAATGGCTCCTAATAATGGCTCTGAATGCATGTGAAATTCTTAAAAGTACGTCCGCACAATCTCAGCATCGACCTTATGACGACATTTAATAATTTACTATACGAAATGATGAGACCGCTATAATTCTACGGTTGCTCTAGAAAAGCCTTCTACAAGTATAGCTGATATTGTTTATTGAAGTTGCATGACGGAATTAACATATTACAGAATAACTTTCTGTAGTCCAAAATATTTAAAAGACGAACGAGCGGAAAAACTGCGCCATTTCAAGCAGAAGGAAGTGCTGTTTAATCAAAGGCAGACACTATGTCAACTCCATCAAAACTATGGCAAAAAAACTTTGATTAGGAGTTATTAATATTCTTTGATATAAATATTTTACTAAGTGCGTGAGACTGCTTACCATTAGACCACTAGAACCAACTTGGAGTTATGACAAAATAGGTATCGACGCTTTGACTTCAAAAATGGTGGAATTGGGCACTCATCATATCACAAAAAAAGCAAAAAAAAAAAAAATACCATTATGACGCCATTTGGTTAATTGGGCCTTACAATAGATAACATTATAGCTATAAAATGAAAGCTTTGCCTTTTAGTACTTATTATAATCTTGTAACTTGTTGCTATAAATTATAATAGTTTTGTTCCCCTAACGGTTGTTTGTATCACCTAAAAATAAGATTATATAAATCATCAAGATGAAAGACGAATTGAAATTCGAGTGACTGTCCGTCCGTCCGTCTCTCTGTGCAAGTTGTAATTTTAGTAAAAATGTAGATCTCCTAATGAAACTAGGTACACGTGTTCCTTGGTAAAAAAGTGGGGATGAATTCGTAGATCGTAGAGAATCGGACCACTGCCACGAGCACAAAATGTCACCCGGGACCAGCTCAACCGATTTCAACCAAACTCGGTAGGTTTAACTACTATTTGCTGTGCGAAATTGTACGAAATTGAACTACTACCACGCCCACTTGCCATATAACACAATTTTAAATTCCATCCGTTTCATTGATTTTCCATTACACAAATCAAGCACTTATAAATATATTCGGATAAAACTTTGCCCAAATAGTGCCTATGAGGTATGGGATCTCGGGTCTAAATATGGTTAAAATAGGACGATAACGTGCGTATGGCTGACTTTTAGTCGAAAATATCATTCAATGAATGAGATATATCAAGAATTCGCGGAAAATATTTCTTTGATAATAATATATCCATATGTCAAAAATGGGTTAAATTAGGTCAATACTGCTCTTAGCCCACATATACCTATGATAAAGATTTTCCAACTTCCAGTTGACTTTATGCTACAATACATATGGCAGCTATAAGGAGTTCTTTAATAATAGAGACAGCATATTTTCTAATGACAGTGTATCTTTGTGCTAAAATGGATAAAATCGGTTGAAAACCTTAGCCAACATAGCTGATATTCAGGATTTTGACATCCGGCTGACTTTAATCCATATATGTGTTTAGATTCATACCATATACTTGTATTTATAAATTGGCGAAAATAAGTTCTCAAGTATACCTGAGCAATATCAAAAATTAAGGAGGTTAGGGGTAGTCAGAGTGCGAAAAATGATTTTCAGAATGCTATTAAATAGTTATATAAATGTAAAATGGCATATTATACAATGTTTGACTTGAGAGTCACGAAATTTTCAACATTTTAATTTCCAAAGTTATAGCTGTGTGAGTTCCAAAAATTGCGGTGACAATCATAAGTCCTTGAAATTCATCTAAATCAATGGATAAAAATTTGTTTAAAATAGATATCCTGATCCAACCTTTTTTCAAATTAACAAAATGGCGGCCTAAAATTTTTCCTAGATTTTGGGAAAAATCAACAATTGATTGATCTAAAACGTATTTTGAAAAATTCATCGGAAGCTTATAATGTTTCAAGAGCTGTATAAATTTATGAAAATCTACTAAGCAATTTTCAGTCGGTGTACCAATTCAAAAAACATAGTTTTGAGAAAAATGCATTTAAAGTTTCACACTAGAGCTCCCGAGCGCTTTGAAGTGCCCGAGCGCTCTTTGTTATTTGTCGAATAACTCAAAAAGTAATTATCGGAGCAACTTGAAATTTTCAGAGAATATTTTCAAGACATTACACTTACCGAAAATGCAAAAAATGATTTTTTGAAAATTCCGACTACCCCTTACCCCTTAATGCAGGAGTTCTGACGTTTAGCAATGGGTAAAGAAGGAAGGGCCAGATTGAAATCCTACCAAAAAATATGTGAACAAAATGAAAATCTTTTTTGATGCCATTAATTAATTGGGAGCTAGTACATTTATTCTTTTAATTCAGTATTGAATATTCAAAAATTCGCGCTTTAATATATCACAATATCCCAAAAAAGGGTTTAAATAGTTTCTGGATATGTTAAACGGATACATGTATTACAATATGTAATCTTAATAAATTAGTGTTATTCTAATTTAAATTCCCAAAAATTATGTTTGTTTTGTCCGAGCTGGCTACAATGGAAAATGTTATAAAAAAATGCAAATTTTGAGGCACTCTCACAATGGATTAAGTAGGGCATACCTTTATCCCTGGCTGGGGCTTAGAACAGCATTCTCTAATTTAGGTTAAAATGGGTATAAGTAGAATTAGATATGGCAAACTCGAGTTCGATTCTACTCGATAATCCTTACCTTCCGAATTCGAACAGAAATTCATATTAGATTTTGCGGTTAGGTGACTAGTTTAAAGTTTTACTTACCATTATATAATTGTAACGGCTTTCGCGGTAAATCGTCTACCTTGTAACTCGCCATTGATATCAATCCCTTTTCGAGTTTACGACCCAACACTCGGCAATACTCTAATTAGAACTGTGCTTGCTGCATTATCCGGCAGCCCTTATATAGTAGATGGTTAACAAAACATCGCTTCTATAACATTTTGGGAACAATGAATTTGCTATCTAGTTGCTTCTGGCAATTTAGCATCGATTCGATTATGTTCTATCATCCGTGCTCGTCACAATATCATAACCAACCGTGTGATAGAAAGTCATACAAATACATATGTATTTATTTCCGGTACTTATTATTTATATATTTTCAACCAAAAGTTAGTTTTGTCATAATATATCCAAATGGCGGCGAACGCCATGCGGATTTATTTAAAAAAGTAAATAATGGATCTAATGTCTAGTGTAATAAATGTGCGTAGTAGCTGATATAGTAACAGTACAACTAGTTTGATTTAACATCTGAATAAAACAACAAACACAAACTTGATTTAACTCTTGCTAATCATAATAGCACTAGAGTAACGGATTTGAAGGCCAGTCAAGATGAAACATTACAGTTTCAAAAACTAAACATATAAATAAATATATTTATATTAACAGCCTTCAAATTTACACTTTTTCCTTGTATATTTCTTTATTTATCTATTTAGTGATGTAATTTATAAAAGTTTTTTTTTCTATCAAGATGCTCGCTTATGGCGTTGCGATTTTATAAATCAATTTATTACTAAATAAATTGTTAGTGTTATAATTAATCGTAAAATATAAAATCGGAAACGATTCTTTATAAAAAGTTTCCATGTCTACGAAGAATGTAGGATCAAAATAGACCAGATCATAAATACTGTGTTTGCATAGGGACTCTTTTGACCCTCATTATCGGCAAATTCCCTTTTGGTGTCGCTTTGTGCAACTCGAATCGAGTTTTCTGTCATTCCTTTTCAAAAAATTTTCGCAAATGTTTGTGCGGTTCATCTACGCGACACTTAGAGAGTGTTGCATATTTCATTTGTATGTTGGGATGGTGATCTCACATTTTGCATGCAAGAAATTACCATGAATGTGGTAGAACAATATGCATTATATACGCTTAATAGTTTAAAGAAATACTTAAGACGGGAACTCCTTAATTTACCAGAATGTAATGTGTGCGGGTATTCATGCTATTAATATTTTCATGGCCAAAATTATAACAGGAATTTCCTAATCCTCAAGTATCAAAAATTCCTAATTTCTTTACTTCAAATTTTTGTCTATTTATTATAAAACATCCTTGAATTAATTACAATTCTTGTTGTAAATAAAATGAGATTCGAACTAAATCCTTTGTGGTTAACAGAAATAAATATGACAGCATTTTAATATATTATGTAAATATAAAACAGTAAAGTTACAATTTTTATAAGAATTCCTTTATGTATTCTGGTATATTACTACATATAATACCGCTATATGTTATTAAAAATGTAAATTGAATGTATTTAAGTGATTTTTGGGAAAAATCATCAGTTAATTGGACGTAAAAACTCTTAATCCATTAATTAGGCTGGAGCTTATAATGTATTCTAAGAGCTGTATAAATATTATGAAAATCTACTAAGCAGTTTTCGAGTTACAGTTGTCACCCGTTCAAAAAACATAGTTTTGAGAAAAATGCATTTAAAGTTTCACACTTTATCAACACCTAGGATTCCATACGACGCTTTTTGAGTATGGTTGCCCGGAGCGGCTTTTGAGTTATTTAGTCGAATAACAAAAGTAATTCGAGAGCAACTTGAAATTTCAGAGAATTTTTCAAGACATTACATCTACACCGAAAATGCAAAAATGATTTTGAAAATTCCGACTAACCCTTACCCCTTAATGCAGAGTTCTGACGTTTACATGGATAAGCAAGGAA